CAAATGTTTTCAATAAACAATATCTCGTATAATGCTTCTCAAAATTTTGTTCTACGTACGTGAACCTTTAAAATTAATGGTACAAACAATATTAGTTAAACTCTCAAAATCACAATTATTATTCTTAATGTCCTAATCAAAATATTTATATCTTTTCCAAAGTAATTGTAAAAATTGTGTTATCAATGAAAGAAAAAACTGCAGAAAACCAAACTATCTCTCTCTGATGATGAGTGGTCCAAATCCTTGTTCCTTACAATCTACTCTTAGCAGCCCACTAGGTAATCAGCAATCTTACAACAAATTGTTGCAGGTTTATCGTCCTTAATGATCTCCTTCAAATGCACGAATCGTTCAAATTATGCTAGCCTTTTCTCTTCTCGATAAACTGAATCTCTCGTTGGCCTGAGTGAAAACTGACTCTTGGAATATCTTCTCTTTACGATAAACTGAATCTCTCGTTGGCCTGAACAGTGACTCTTGGAATATAAGTAGAAAAATATGACTTACAATCTTTTACTGGATCAGCTTCTGTCAGATACACTAACTACACGAAAACTCACAAACTTTCACTGCTACTGCTTCCTACCTCTGGGAAACTACCCGAGAACAACGGCCGTTCACCTTGCACCCTTGGAAACCAACTGCCTATATTTTTTTTCTTCAAAAACTAACTAAAGTCTCATTCTCAAACCAACCATCCCACCTTTTTCAATCTCATCCAATCAAAACGCGTCATACATCTCCCATTTCTTCATTTCGATAACTAACAAAAACATATCTTTCTAAAATCTATTCTATTGTCCTAATTACTGCACAAATTTATTTGGAAAACCCGCTTCCATTGTCTAGGATTTTACTTAAGCTCATCACGTCACTCAAATATATTTTAACAAAGAAAATAATTTATGCATATCTTACGTTTTCTTCAATATAGGTAATCCAAAGATAAAAGACTTTCATTCTTCGAAATGTTTGTAGTTTATTATTCGACTTATCTGAATTATTTTAATTTTTTGAACTTTGAAATATTTTAAGCAAACCTCTATTGTTCTCGATTTTACATATCATAACAGTATATTCATGTAAATCTAATAAACTAAAAAAATGAGAATCGTGATACTGAACTGAAAACGATAAGGTTGGCACGTTGACACTTGGCTGGCAGTAACATTTAACAGTAAATGAGTGGGAAATACAAGGCTTCTCTCTTCTGCCACATTTAGATTGGGTACATACTACAGATTTATATTAAGGTTAAAAATTAAGGTACAAATATAATAACACGACGTTACGACGTCACACTGATTGAAATTTAAATGAGTCTGTCTGTGTTTATGTTTAGTATGCTTTTTTCACTGCTAACTACCTCGGTGGCTCTCTGCCGCTCTAGGTAATTCCTCAGATTCCTTACTTGGAATCACCTATTAGTAGTTAAATTATTTTCTTGGAATCCCCAGTAAATCTCAAGTGTTTGAACTATCTGCCACACCGCCAAATGACAGCGCATTTGGCAAGAAAACTAATTTAATATAGTAATTAAAGTGTTGCCTAAATACAAAAGGGGAGAAAGACCTTAGAAAGGGAAAAAGTAAAAATTTCTATCTGAATATAAAATTCGGTAGAATTTAAGTCTTTTCGGTAGATTGGTAGATAAACGTCGAATTTCGGTAGGTTTGAGAACATTGGTTAGATAGGACATTCAGCCTTTCAAATGGTGTCTGTTTTCAATAGACCAAATTGAAATGCGCATATACCGAGACAATGTTGTCGATTTTCGCAAATATTCCTCAATGGGGTGATAAATAGTCACATTTAAGATTTTTTCGACCAAAAATATAAAGATTGACAAAATGCGAGATAGGACATTTTGCCCGCTCACCATCGATATCTAATTCTGTTCTAAAATCTAAAACTTCTACCGGCAGTTCCACTGGACCCCCACACCCGTTTTTTTTGTTTTTTTGTAAACGATATTTTGCTCAGAATATTTTTTTGATCAATACTGACTTTTTGAGTTATTTGTGAACAAACGTCTGAAAGCGTGGTTTCTATTTTGAAAAATGAACATTTTCTATCGCAATTAACTCAAAAGGTGACTTCGTGAACAAACTCTATAGAATAAAGGCTTAGAATTAGTCAATTCATCCATTTCCGGACATATTTTGAATGTATTTGTTACCTCCGAGAAGGGGTGGCTTTCACCCTCGAGTAAAAGCAACCCTGCGCTCCAGTCAAAGTGAAGTAGACGATAAGAGGAACCTAAATCCAAATTTTCAAGCAAATCCGTCGTAACGAGGAAAATTACACTGCAAAACGGTGATTTACTAGAGTATTTGTTATTTGTTCATTTCTAATTAGTTAATTATCATAATAATATATTTTACAAAATTAAAGTTTTGATGAGAATTTCGATGATACGTTAAATTTGCCCAGCAGTATAATTTACTTGAAATATTTTTATTTATGTATTGAGATCAATAAACCGTCGGAAAGAAAACATATTAATCTGAATATATACATAGATAATAGTTATAGTCCTTATCTACGTTGGTTGTGTAATAAAGGTCAATAATCCGAAAATAGATTCGGAATCAAAGGCAGTCCTAATTTCCTGTAGGTTACACTTTTATATAAAACGGTTAGTTCATATTTAGGTTACTCACGTTTTGGAGGATTAAAAATAGAAGAGGGAGTGTCTACTGTATTGAAATCCACTGTTATTTTGTAGGTTCTAATATGAGAACAATTGATAAATTGGTTGGAACTACAATGGAGCTATTATTAAATTAAACGTTTCTATGTATACATTGCTCAAAAAATTAGGGTGACACTTCTTTATAGTTCTGTAACTTTTTGAATGAGAACAATACAGTAGATCCGCTGGATATTTTCATATTGTCATTATTTCTTCTTCTTCTTCTAAATGTGCCTATCTTCTAGAGATGATAGCGACCACATTGACCCATCTTATTTTATTCACAGCAGCTCGAAATAGATCAGATGACGTTAGACCAGTACATTTCCTAAGACTGGCCTGACAAGAGATACATATACGTCCAGGGCCTCTCTTACTCTCAATCTTGCCTTGTAGAATTAACTGTAGAAGTCGGCATTTATAATTACGCATGATGTGGCCGAAGTAAGCCAATTTTCTGTTTTTTATGGTGTTAATAATTTCTTTGTCTTTTCTTAGCCTCTGGAGAATAGTTATGTTGTATGGTGTATATATGATACCCTCAACATACGTCGGGAGCACCACATTTCAAATGCCTCTATTCGTTTTATGGCATCTTCTGTAAGGCTTCAACTTTCTACTCCATGCCTGGACGTCAATCAAGATATATACGCATGTTTTATTGACTATAATAAAGCATTCGATAAAGTACAACATGAACAATTAATGAATGTCCTGAAATCAAAGACGATTGACACGTGAGCAAAAGTACGTGTTAACGAACAGCTGTCAGAAGAAATTGAAATTAGTGTGGAGTGCGACAGGGATGCGTATTGTCGCCAATTCTTTTTTTTTTTTAGTGAAACAGCTGGAATAAAGGTAAATGGAGTTCCCATTAACAACAATAGATATGCGGACGACACTGTGATCTTAGCTGAAAACATTGAAGATCTTCAGAGACTGGTGACCAGAAAAGTAGAGTATGTGTATAAGCGAACAAGTGGACAAATATGCATATCTGGGAACAATGATTAATTCCATAAATGATTACAGTCAGGAAATCAAAATCAGAATAGGAAATGCTAGAGCAAATTTCAACAAATTGAGAAGAGTGGTATGTACCAGAGATTTAAAACTGGAACTAAGAGTTTTTTCGACTTTATTTTATGGAATGGAATCTTAGACCTTGAATGCAACATCAATGAAAAAACTGGAATCATTCGAGCTGTGGGTATACAGAAGAATTCTGAAACTCGTGGACAGAACACGTCACAAACAAAGAGGTTCTGAAAAGGATGGATAAAGAAATGGAAATTTTAAATACAATTAAAACAAGAAAATTAGAATATCTCGGACATATTACACATGGAGAGAAATACACTTTGCTCCAACTGATTATGCAGGGAAAGATTCAAGGAAAGAGAAGCATAGGGAGGCGTACAATGTCATGACTGTGCAACCTGAGAGAGTCGTACGGATGTACATCAAATGAACTTTTCAGAGCAGCCGTCTCAAAAGTCCGAATAGCTATGATGATTGCCGACATCCGCCGCGGAGATGGCACTTGAAGAAGAAGAGTTCCGGTGTAGTCTGGCAAAACCTTCCAGTCTCTTGCTTTCGCCGCTATTCCTTATGTCGCCATGGTCACGTCGATGTACGTACCTGTACCTCTGTTAACAAACGTAGGTTAAAGACTTGTGTTCAGAACCACTATGTCTAGAGTACCCACCCAGTCAGTTAGCATCCTGTCATGACTATCGGTGATGGGAGATCCCCACTCCGCTGCTTTTGCGTTAAAATCTCCCAGCACTACGTATTCTCCTTCTGTGTTTCCCACTTCCTGCATGATCTCATCTATCTTCATTTCGTACTCGCCCACCGTCACGTTTGGAGAAATATAACAGCAGACCAGCCGCATTCCCTCCATCCGAACAATCACATATCCCTCTTTCGGTTTAATTTCATACACTCGCAGCTTCCTATTGTAGATTCGTACATCAGCCCTCCAGATCGTATCTACAAATCATCCTCTTTTTTTCACCGCTGTTGGGTTTGGTTCCACTTTCACCAGCACATCGATGTTCTTTTCTACAGCGACAGCCTCGACAAGATCATGTGCTAATCTTACTGTTCCTAAGTTAGTTTGGAGCACCTTCAGCTCTCGAGCCATGTTTCCTTTGTTTGCCATTTCTAAACCTTTTTTTTTTCGCGCTCTCTTTTACACTCTCATACTTTTTTTGGGACTCGTCCTTAGTGATTCCTATTTTTAACCGGTCGGTTTGGGCATTTCCTTGAATTCGCCACATGCCTGGTCACGTTACAGTTAAGGCAGCGTTGTTTCTTCCTTACATTCCAGCGCTATATGACCCTCTTTGGCACATCGGAAGCAATATCCTTTTCTGTTCTGTCCCTTGCAGTGCCATTGTTTATGTCCAAAGGCGAGACATTTCAGGCATCTCGGTATTTCTACCCTTGATTCTATTACTCGGCAGGATGTGTAGTCTACTTTTATTCGTTTCATTTTCAAAATCTTTTCGGCAGCGTCTTCAAGCACATCGATCACGGCACTCATCGTCCCTCTTACTTCGCCTCGTGTCTCGGTCCAAATTTTTATGATGTCACAGGCCCGCTCTTTGCCAGTTGCTTCCTCTGTGGTCTTTTGGATCTTCTCCTTCGTTGTATTGGGTGGGTTTTCCTGTACCAAGATTCTTCTCTTCACGATGTCTCCTTTTGCCACTGCCCTCGACACGCATGTATTATCAGAGAGGAGTTTCTTCATTTCCTCCTACATTTCCCGTCCTCCGCCCAATTCTAGTGATATTCCTTGGTCTCTAGTTTGTCTGTTCCTTTTTATGTCAATGTCCTTTCTTCCTGTCAGTTTGTTTTTTCTTCTTCTTCAAGTGCCGTCTTCGTTCCGAAGTTTGGGTATCATCAAAGCTATGCGTATTTTTGATGCTGCAGATCTCAACAGTTGGTAATTGGTGCAATTGTACCATTCTCTCAAGTTTTTCAACCATGAATGCCTTCTTCTTCCTATAGATCTCTTTCCCATTATCTTTCCCTGTATAATCAATTGCAGCAACTGGTATTTATCTCCCCTCATAACATGTCCCAAATATTGTAGTTTGCGCTTTTTAACAGTAAGTATCAGCTCTTTCTCTTTCCGCACTCTCCGCAAAACCTCCACATTTGTTACTTTCTCTGTCCAGGGTATTCTTAATATTCTACGATACATCCACAACTCAAATGCTTTTATCTTTTTGGTATCGATCTTTTTCAATGTCCATGTTTCCATCCCGTAGAGGAGAACTGACATAACGTAACATCTCAAAAGGCGAATTTTAAGTTTTAGACTTAGATCTCTTCCGCAGAACACCTTTTTCAATTTAGTAAATGTGGCTCTAGCTTTCTCTATTCTGGTTCTGATTTCTTCAGAGCAATCATTATTTTCGTTGATAACAGTTCCCAGGTAATTATATCTTCTTACACGTTCGATTCTTTGATCATGCACGGTTATGTCAGGGAAGTTTTGTGGTGATTTAGATATTAGCATTATTTTTGTTTTGCTTATGTTAAGTGATAATCCGTGTTCTTCACTGCATTCTACTATTTTGTTAATTAGTATTTGAAGATCTTCCCAAGTTTCTGCGATTAGTACCGTGTCATCGGCGTATCTCAAGTTGTTTATTCGGATGCCATTTATCTTAATACCTATATTTTGATCCGAAAGTGCTGTGTTTATAATGTCATCGAAGTATAGATTGAATAAGGTCGGTGAAAGTATACAACCCTGTCTTACGGATTTCTTGATCTCGATTTCCTCCGTTGTCTCTTGCTCTATTCGGATATTTGCTTTCTGGTTATAGTAAATCTTAGAGATAATTCTAATGTCCCTTTTATCCAAGTTTTTTTCTACTAGCAGTTTCATTAAGTGATCGTGACGAACTTTATCAAACGCTTTGTTGTAATCAATAAAGCACATATATTTATATATATCTTGGTTTATTTTTGTTTTTTTTTTACTTCTTTAGTTTGTTTTTTACTTCTGTCATTAGATCCACAAAGGATTTTTCTTTGGTTTTATTATTATTTTTTATTACGACTTTATTTATTATTATTATGACGAGTTTTATTTATTATTACGACTCCATTTTGTTCTTTGCACTTTAAAAAATATTTAATATCATTCCGTTGACGTGCATTTAGCCCTATTTAAATAGATAAATGTCGATTTATAGGTTAGAATAAATATATATACTTTTTTCCATAGCTAATGTTAAAGTGTTGCTATAACAACTGTTTTGAGTACTAAAAGTATCACTTTAACTGCAAGGGTAGATAAAGTGACACTTCAACAGCAAGAGTAGATAAAATGTTTTAACTTTTTTTTATTCAATAAAATTTACAAATTCAAACACATTAAGGATGAAAAACAACTGAAATTTTACAATTAACATTATTAGGAATATCTATTTTTGGAGCATCACAACTTGTACTCGTTTGCTTAAACACTTGATTCGAGGTACTGGATTGATTTTCTGTAACATTTGGTGACAAAGTAATTCATATCCCTAGCAACGGAGCAACACAATTGCGATTTTTGTGCTAAAAATTACAATTTTCTTTGAAATTCTATTTTTCACCTGAACTTGAAGTCTTACTATAGAAAAAAATTTTGTATTGCACACGACGATAAAAGCGCATTATCTTCTCGAGCATAATTAGCGTCTCGACTGACGTCTCGACACTAAAAAACGTTCTCGAAGATAAAGTAGAATTTTATCGTCTTGTACAATAAATAACTAAAAATAATTTCTTTATAAAAGGTGTATTAATATAAAAAAACTCTATCGGGCTACATCACGATTTCGGAATAACTATTCCATCGTCAGTGCTATATGGATTTACATGTTTGAATCCACTAAATACATGGGTAAAAACTTTAGTGGCTTTAAACATACAAATCCAGAAAGCACTGATGATGGAATAGTTATTGCCATACTGCACTCTCAGTGTGAATTTCACTATATATCCCTTTACTAATGATATATTATACCACATACCATAAACATAATTTATTTAACAAAGGGTTGCATGGTGGGTATAGTTTTTAATCTTAAGAAAATATAACCTCTTATTCGAATTCAGTATTTACAATCAAAATTCTTACGTTGCTCAGGTTTTCTTTCAATCTATATCACATTCTCGCATGTACAGAATATAGAGGTCCAATATAGTCCAGGCTGTGAGGCCGCTCCCGTTGGGAAAATGTTTCTGATTCGGTTTCTTCGCGGATTCCGGTTCAAAAATGTCCCCTTTAAACAAATCTGAAGGGTACCGGGCGAAATTTTTGGGCAGAAATTGTTTAAACAATTTTTTTTAAACAAATTCCAAAAATATTTTTTTTAAATCTGGAAAACGTTTTTTTTTTGGGTCATTTTAAATAAAAAAGGTATCTTGTCATTTTTCCCTAAAGTTGATAGTTTTCGAGTTATAAGCGATTTAAAGTCTGAAAAACGCGAAAATACGCATTTTTGAGGCTTGAAAACACATATGTAAATTATTATTTTTGAGGTTACCAAGTGTCTAAATTGAAGTTTAAACATTCAACTTCAAGATTGTGAAGAGTAATCGGGGCTTATTTTAATTTAGACCGTTGTTTTTTAATTGTTAAATATGCGCGTACACTCGATTTTTCAGCCGCCGCGGCGCGGCGCGCTAGAGTGCGCTTCTATCGTACTTATGCATAGTTTACATATACACTTACGCAAAAAAACCCGAACAAATCCTTGAAGTTTATTAACATAGTTTTTTCCATAATTTATTTATGTAGGTATTAATTATTGTCATTGGGCTAATTAAATCAATCAATCATCGCAATGTAATAACCGCATATAGTTTTTTTTTCTTCCAAATTTGAACAATATAATTATTATTTATTGAGTATATATTTATTTATATCAATTTTAAATAATATTTTTAAATTATTATTTAAATAATACAATGCAGTAAATATTAATATTAGTAAACTTAATTTTAAATTGCGCGGTGTTTAAAAAAAATATACTATCGCAAAAATGCAAGTTTTTACCTGTTTAACAATCGCGCGCTCATACTTGATTTGTTATTACTTAAACGATCATTAGGAAGACTATTGTTTAATGCCCATTAAAAGGGTATTATATTATTAATGTGTTATTAAAAAAATTGTGAATGGATTTAAAATGTCTTTTTCCGTACCTCTTCTTAAATGAAAACTTCCGAAGAAAATTTAGTTTGTATTTTTTGTAATAACATCAACAATATTAAGTTAGTCATTTTAAAAACTAAAGTAGATTTTTACATAACAATACAAAATGCTGCTCTTCGACGAAAAGACAGTGTGACTGAAAAATTTAATTTAATCTAGCCAATATACCTTGTACCTCTGACGCACTTTACCAACATTTGTTAAGAGCTTTCGCTAAAACATATATTTGTCGAAAAGCCATATATTCCCGCTATCAAACTCTCGATTTTACACAATATGGATATTATATGTCTGATAGTGGTGGGTTGGGAAACCGTGCAAATGCAAAAAGACTTGCAAAACTAATGCTTGCAACTGCAAGAAAAATCATGTCAACTGTGTACCATTATGTGGATGTGATTTAGATTTTTGTGAAAACAAAGATACTTTTACTGAGTGATATTAGTGAGTTATTTAACAATATTTTGTACAATTATTTTATGTAACTATTATTAGACTTTAGACGAAATTTATATTATAACTCAATTGATATAAACAAATATATACTCAATAAATAATAATTATTTGTAAGTATTGTAAACTATGCATAAGTACGATAGAGGCGCACGGTAGCGCGCGGCGCCGCGGCGGCTGAAAAATCGAGTGTACGCGCATACTTAACAATTAAAAAACAACGGTCTAAATTTAAATAAGCCCCGATTACTCTTCACAATCTTGAAGTTGAATGTTTAAACTTTAATTTAGACACTTGGTAACCTCAAAAATAATAATTTACATTTGTGTTTTCAACCTCAAAAATGTGTATTTTCGCGTTTTTCAGACTTTAAATCGCTTATAACTCGAAAACTATCAACTTTAGAGAAAAATGACAAGATACTTTTTTTGTTTAAAATGGCCCAAAAAACCGAAAAAAACGTTTTCCAGATTAAAAAAAAATTAATTTTGGACTTTGTTTAAAAAAATTGTTTAAACAATTTCTGCCCAAAAATTTCGCCCGGCACCCTACAGATTTGTTTAAAGGGGACATTTTTGAACCGGAATCCGCGAAGAAACCGAATCAGAAACATTTTCCCAACGGGAGCGGCCTCACAGCTTGGACTAATAGGACTGTTGACTGTCGTGTGCTTCCCAAAGTTGCAGTGATTCCATGGCAGTTATTGTTTGATCATAGAATATCATTAAGCTTTTGGATAGTTATTCGTAGTTATATGATCCAAATAAATTTTGACTGTTGCTGAAAAAGCACATAATAGACAATTTTTTTTAATTTCGTAACAAAATTTTATAAAAATGAGGTTATATTTTCTGTTACTATCTTATACACATATATGCCATAGATTTTTTTTGTAGATTTCGACGCGAAGTATTTCTGGAACTGGACTGATTTTCAATCGTACCTGGACTGTATTTTGATATTTACCATAGCAACTTCATTGTTGATGTATATATTTATAGACTATATAATCTTTGTTGAGACCGTTGGGTTTCTGGCGTTATTTACGGAGGCGATGTTAGGAACGCCCCAACTCATGAAGAATTACAGGAACAAATCCACAGAAGGCATGAGGTAAGTTAATTTTTCTTTGTTAGTTTGAAAGTTTTTCGTAAGAGGACCGCGAATATCCACTGCAAGTCGTTCAAAAGGTTCTCCGGAAAGATATTGTGCCATTTTACCACGACTTATTGTTCTAGGACTTTTTCTACCGTTATATAAATCACATTTCTTACACCAATCTTCTACATCTCCTTCTCGAGTACCCATTCCCTTTCGGAACCCGAATTGCGTCTCGCTAATATCCTCCTTTAGGCTTTCGTATATTCTCTTATGTATTACGTTCAGCAGTACTTTTAAAGTATGACTCATGAGGCTCAGTGTTCGATAATCAGAGCACTCTGTTGCTGCTTGTTGTTTTGGGATGGTTATAAATGCTGACTTCTGTCACTCTTGTGGTATTATTCTCGTATCGTACACGGTGTTGAATAAGTCTGCCAATACTTCCAAGTTATCCTCTTCCACTAGTTTTAACAGTTCTACGGGTTTTTTATCTAATCCACCTGCCTTATTGTCTTTCGAATTTTTTATAGCATATTTGATTTCATCTATCGTGATCTTCTGTTTCTCTATAGTATTAATTCTCGTATTTTCTGTATTTCACCTCTTTCATATTAGAAAAGTTCTCTAACGTACTCCTCCCATTGTCTTCATTTCTCTGGTAAATCTATTAGTAGTACTCTTTTTTGTCTTTTATGTGTAATTGCTGTCTATTTCGACCTATTCCAGTCACTTCTCTTATTTTTTGTACATAATTCTCACATGTTTCTCATTTGTTTCTAGTTCTTCTATCTCTTTACATTGTTTCATCAAATAGATTTCCTTAGCTGTTTTGATTTTTTCCTTAATTATTCGTTATATTTCTTTATACTTCTGTAGATCTTTTCCTTTATATTTCCTTCTTTGTTCCATCTGTAATAGTATTTCTTCTGTCATCCGCTGTTTTTTATTTTTAACCTCTGACCTATATTGTATCAAACTTTCTTGAACAGGTTTCAGCAATATGTTTTTCTATATTATACCACTTTTTATTTACATCCATAATTTGTTGTTTATCAGTTAGTATTTTTTCCATGTTAACATTCACATTATTTTTTAATTCGTTTTTTATTTCTTCGTTTTTTAGCATTCTTACATTAATTTTTGGTTGTTGTTTTCTGAGTTCAATTCTTTTTAATTTTATTTTCACGTCAGCAACTAACGGTTGTTCTTCCTCAGTACACCGTTTTATTTAACATTTGTAATAAAAGGACTGTAACTGTTTTTCTCTTTTACTCTGTACCATTCGAAAGTATTCTGTATTCATCACTTTTCGACCAAAAGTGGATTATCATTGTTTTCCCCCATGACTCCTCATATATTTTAGTTTAACGATATTCTAAATTTGCGATAAATATGTGTACCAGTGTTAATTTTTGCCGAATAATTAGTTGTATTGAAGTACCTATTTATCTGTAATAGTATTTACCTAGATAAGTGCTTTTTAAGTCGATAATAATGTTTGTATACTATGTATTTATTAATTTTTTGAATTGATAGCAATGTATATTAAAAATTATTTACAGTTTTGAGTGTAATAACGACTTAAATGCTGCTTGTTAATTTTTAGCAGCTCGTCATAATGAGACTATCAGATATTTATGGTCATTCAGTCTGCTGCAACTCAGACGTTTGAATTATTAACATCGTTTTAACTAGAATGTGTTATATATTATACATAGTTATCGGTTTTATGGGTGTGGTTATTTCTAATTAATTTCAATTCCATGTTAAGTGTATCTTAAAGAAAAGGTTTTTCTTATTGTTCTCGTTTAGATGTATAGATGGCCACAACTGAGCTCAGAGACAGAATGGCTCCGGCTTCTATACAACATGTAGCTTCTCCTTAAAATTTTAAAGTGTTTGTTTGTCTTTGTGTATTGTATTTTGTATTGTTATGTCCAAATTTTACATTTATGACATTCTACTCATGTCGGATAGGCCACAACTGACGAAATGCCCCTGAAGATGATCTATTGATCGAAAGTACTTGGGCAAGATTAAATTAATCATCGTGTTCGATAGTTGCCTTGTATACCCTCAAAGTTTATTTAAATAATATTGTGCCAACAATCCGGGCATGTAAAAGCTTTTTTGTTAAATATTTGTGCATTTCGGCCGATATGATTGAAAGAGTGAAAAATCATATAGAAAAGTTTTATACTACGGAATCTCCTTATTATAGAAAAGAAACTAAACGAAATAATTCAGTATAGGTATGACTACACTTGAACTATGAGTTCAAAGTAATTCAAGTATTTGGTTAAACTCTTCCAAAATCTTTTGAAGAAATAACCCTTTATAATTTATATTCAAAAATAATTCCAATAACAGGGAAGAAAAAAATTAGCCTGCTGCAACTGTGTTGTAAAGGAAACATCCCGGAAGAATTTCACGGTTGGTACAAATCTTTACCAACAGTAAAATCAGCTGTAGACGGAGTTCCTTCCTCAACCAACAGTAATATTGAGGACCGAAGGACTTTGTTAATACATGCTATAAAATTTTTCTTGTGTTAATTTAAGATTAAACTGTTAAATACATTTTTGCTATTTTTATTCTGCCAAAAACATTTAAGTCCTATATATTTTTTTTTTGTTTTTAGCATCCCTTATAACCAATAATATTATTGTAAGCACAATATGTTTTGCCGAAATATCAACTTTCAAACTTCATCATCATCATATAACGGGGGTCCTACGGCGATTGCCGCTTCCCGCATTTCAGCCTCCATCTTTTCCTATCTCTCCAATCTCCCTCTTCTAAGCCTCTAGATTGCATTGCTTTTGTAATTTCTCTTCTCCAGGAATTTGGTGGTCTTCCCCTTTTCCTTCTTTCTGGCGGAACATACATTAAGGCTTTCTTTGGCCACCGCTCCTCCTCCATTCTCATCACGTGACCATACCATTGTAATTGCCTTCCTTGTATTCTATCTGAAAGAGTATCTCTAATTCCTGTACGGTTTCGTATTTCCTCATTCCTGGTTCTTTCCATTCTCGATACTCGACATGACCTTCTAAGATAATCCATTTCCACAACGTCTACTTTATCTCGTTCATTCTTTGTCATCGTCCAACATTCGGCACCATATGTGGTAATTGGTTCTACAATTGCTCTGTATACGCGAAGTTTGGTATGCATCTTTATTTTATTAGACCACAGTAATGAATTCAGTATTCGGATGCATTTTTTCCCTTGGGTTATTCGGTTTTGTACATCTATCTTAACTCTGCCATCTGCTGATATGATGCTTCCTAGATATTTATACTGGTTGCAGCCTTTTATGACTGCGTTTTCAAGCCTCAGATCTGTTGTATTTCCTCCAATTTTTAAATATTCTGTTTTGCTTATGTTTACAGTAAGCCCCCATTTGGCATATTCCTCAAATAATTTTCGATTCATATAATTTATATCTTCCTCATCGGTTGCAACCACCACCTGATCATCTGCAAACAGCAATGTATACAGAGTTTCTTGTCCCACTTCGATGCCCATAAATCTACATTTATTTCTCCAATTCCTCAATGCTTCTTGGACGTATATTTTAAAGAGTGTCGGTGACAAACAGCATCCTTGCTTTAGGCCTTTAGTGACTTTAAATTCATTTGAGGTTCTGGTTCCAATTTTTACACAACTAACTGCATTTTCGTACAATTTATATATCGCTCGGATATACGTCGAATCCAATCCGGACCTTTTGAGGACCTCAAACATTTTCTTTAACGGCACACTATCATATGCTTTCTCAAGGTCTATAAATACCAAATGGGTCTCTCTACTTCTTTCGACACGCTTTTTAATTATTTGTCGTAGGATAAATATATTATCAAGGCAGGATCTCCCGGTACGAAAGCCGCTTTGTTCTTCAATATCTTGTATCTGTCTTTCAACCCTCTTCTTTAATATTCTGCCGTACAACCGGCCCACAGAGCTCGTCACACAACTTTCAAACTTTATTTTTTTTAAATAATAATTATAAAAAAGACTGTAAACATTAAAAGTTAATTTTCTCGGAACAATTACGGACTTAACGGATTTTTACAGTAGGCCCACGATATGATAGATAAGTTGTGTATGAATCAAAATAAAATAATTATAAAATTGCTGTTAAGCTGCTGATTGTGCCGCAACAACGTAGAAATATCATTGATGACGTATAATGAACTTTCTTCTTCTACCCTGTATTCTTTTTTGCATTATTAATTGCAACAAGTTATAACGCTCGCCCCTCATAACATGTCCCAGATATTGCAGTTTTCTGACTTTAACTGTATTTAAGACCTCTTTATCTTTTCCCATTCTTCTTAACACCTCGACATTCGTGACTCTATCTACCCAACTTATTCTTAATATCCTTCTGTAGGCCCATAACTCGACTCGAATGCTTCCAATCTGTCCGAAATATCTTTCTTTAAAGTCCAAGCCTCTAACCCATAAAATAATACGGAGAACACGTAGCATCTCACAAGTCTTATCTTTAAAGAAATTGAAATATCCCTTCTGCAGAGTAGTTTTTTCAATTTGTTGAAAGAATTTCTTACCTGTCCTATTCTTGCCTTAATCTCTTCTGTGTACTCATTTTTCGTTAATTATTGTAACCAGATATTTATATTTTTAAACTTTTTTAATTTGTTCTCCATGTATTGTTATGTTTTCTTGGCGCTGTTGGGCTTTTGTAATTACCATACATTGTGTCTTTTTGTGTTTAGGGAGAGTCCGTTTTCTTCACTGACTTCTACTACTCTGTCAACCATTTGTTGTAAATCCTCAAGACATTCCGCTAATAAAATAGTGTCGTCGGCAAACCGTATATTATTGATTGGTCGGCCATTTCCTGTTATTCCCATAGTTAGTTCTTCTACTGCTTCCTGGATTATTTCCTCTGAATACAAATTAAACAAAGTAGGAGATAGGACACAGCCCTGCCTGACGCCCCTCTCAATCTGTATTTCATTTGAAAAGACGTTGTTCTCTTCTACCCCAGCGATCTGATTATAATAGATGGCGCTAATGATCAGGATGTCTCTCATATCTAAGTTTTTCTTTTCAAGTAATTCAATAAGACGGTTATGTCTGACCTTATCGAAGGCTTTGTTGTAATCCAAGAAACACATATATACTGGCTGATCGTCTTTGCATCCAAGAGACATCCATGCATCTTTGCACAAGTACATTCACAGGGAACATGGCCTCCCTCGTTCCCAGTACATTTCTAAATCCAAATTGTGTGTAACTTATGTCCTGCCCAAGTTTGTTGTGTATTATCCGGTGTATAATTTTTAAAAATATTTTGAGCGTATGACTCATTAAACTTATTATCCGGTTGTTTTGGCATTCTTTTGCATTTGTTTTTTTTTTGGTAGTACTTGTCAAGTAATGAACTTTACTACTTGTCAAATTTATTTAAACTAATCTTATATTTTGTTGCAGTATAAGCATGGTGGTGATGTGGACGTGCGGTGATATATTCAAGACTACATATTTTTTATTGCGCGACGCTCCCGTGCAATTTTGGGTGTGTGGTTCAATACAAGTGACCGTGGACTTACTAATATTATTCCAAGTATGCCTTTACCGAGGGAATGTGGAATCGGCGCGGTCGATACCCCATCGTCTTGATTGAGTAGTTATTATCTGGACCCAGGACGAGAAACATCGCAAAGAAGTCAAAAGTGCCGAGGTAGCGATCGTTAACGAGAAAAAAGTGGATAAAAACATTAATAACGGTAATACCGAGACTGAAAACAGTGATCCTTTAAAACGCAGCGATTCCAGCTGTAATTCTATTAGTAATAAAGATGCAGAAAATAATTGTATCACCAGCGTTGAGGTGCATACAGAAAACTGTTATAAATCTAGCAAGGCTGTTAGTAGAGATAGTGATGTAGATATTGTTAATAATGTAGAAAAGTTGACGGTAAATGGTGTCAAAAAAACAACCACACAACACATTCAGCACGTCTCTTACAAAGAACGCGCGAAAAACAAAGTTAATAGACTCATCCATAGGCATACGTTATGACATCTACTAATTATGGCTTCCAAACGAAACTTTATGAAATTTATGCTTCCTTTTTAACTTTCTTCCCTTTGAAGCTACTTTCAATTTTAAATGGTATTAAGTGACAGCCTGCATTATGTACGTTTATTTTAAAATGATTTTTTAAACCGGCAACGATATGAAACTGAGAAAAAACTTGTTATAATATACAGTCTTAGTCAAACTTAATGAATCCCTTTGATAAACTTACCTAACTGAGGTATTATCATTTGTAACGCATATAGAGAGAAATCACTGTGCTAGTCTTAAAATACGTCCAGCTGCGGACCTGGTGGACACTAAATCCATCAGTGCTAACGGTTTTGAAACGCTCTCGTTTTCAAGTAAAAATATTCTGCAAAAATTCCAAGTACTGTATGGGTATGAGCATGTCATGTTGAATCAACCAATCTGCAGTTAATATCATAGTCATTAGGTCATGTTCTCAGTTAATTCACAGGTATTTATTTGGTTATAATTTATTCACAGCTATCCTGTGGTCCTATGTACAGGATGTTCTCCATTAGCCATTGGAACGCGCCGTGTCGCAGATAAGAACTTCCCACGTAGTCTTTCTGGTGTGGACTAGTGACGAATTCACAGTCTCAGACTGACACGGAACTTTAAAAGTGTCGCATTTGAACTCTACCGAAGTTCTAGACGAAACAACAGGAAGAAATAATCTGAGACGATTTCCTATAATCCCGGAAAACAATGTATGTACAAAACAGCAGATTGAAAGTTTGTACTCATGGAACGAGATTATTTTGGTTTGTTTGTTCTTTTCTTCCAACTATTTTATTCATTGCCACATTTTTGTTTGTTTTTTTTATATGATGTTTGTATATTACGAGCCCATTCCCATATCACTTGGCCCAACGTTAGATTGATAAGAAAATTGAACTTTAGAGAACAAAAATAAATGCGCAGTGTATATTTTAGCAGTTTTAATGCATCGAACAACATTTTTGAATTTCCTAATTATAGAAAATATTAACGTAATGAAAATTATTGATTAAACAGAATAATACTTAATAAATTAAAAAAAAAACGCATAGACAAACGCATTAACAAAAAAAAAATGTGAAAGTTTACCACTGAGATACATCCCCTTTATTTTTAATGACATCCACAATTATTCGAGGCATAGTTTTTACCAAGTTCTGACAAAATTCTAATTTAAACAAATTCCATATTTTTGCAATTTGTCGTTCAATTCGTTAACGGACCTGGCAGGATCTCAAAGCTTTTTTCATTTCGCGCCACAGAGTCGGGAACAAGTCGGGACTGTTAGAAACTCATTCCAGAAGTGGTATTCCATGGTCTTCAATCCATTTTAAACTCTTTTTTGAGGTATAACAACCTGCGCCGTTCTGCTGGAAGACAAAATCTTCCGCTGATGTTAAGCCGTGTTAAATAATCGGTAAAAGAGATTCTTCTAAAATATTCAAATATTTCTCCGTGTTTACAATCCCATCGATAAAATGTAATTTTCCCATACCTTTAGACGACATGCTGCCCCAGATCATGACAGATGCGCGATGCGCAGGAAATTTAACTTTCCTTTTCAGACAGTCGGGATGGAAAGCTTCATTTTTCCTGTCAATTACGCGACCCGTACTGTCTCCAACACACACTTCAAATCTGGACTCATCACTCCATTGTATTGAATCGCATTGCGACTGAGTCCAATCTTTATGCTCTTTTGACCATTTTAGTCTATTTTTCTTTTGTTGTAATGTTAAAAATGGCTTTTACTTAGCCTAAAATAAAACGAAATTTATTAAAAACAATTCGTACTAATTTTTTCAACTATGAAACTTACTTTGTAGGTACCAAATCCAACGTTGTAATGATTATTTTGCCTACCACATAGGGTACTATTAGGGGAGTTAAAAAAATGGGGACAGAAATTACTGGGGTGGAGATAGTGCAAGCAAAGCAAATAGAAACTTTGGCGAATGGCCACTCAGGGTTTGTTTGGAAAACTGGGTCGTAGATAAGTGAATGACAAGGGTACTGAAATGGGGTAACTACCAAAAATTAAACAAAAGGGGTACTTGCATGAGTCTCCTGGACAAATAAAGCACAAAAAGGTTGTAACGGGTAGCTCTTTCGGGACGACAGACTCAGTAAAACACAGGTTGAAATAAAAATATATCTATTAATTTACTGTATGTACCGGGTGGTCCAATAAGCCGATCTCTCGGCTATATATCAGAAACTATTCATGTTATAACTTTAGGAAAAAAAATTCCTTAGTAAAAGTGGCCAAGAGAAATCGCTGGAAATAACTTTCAAGATTCTGGATTAACCGCTAGGGGGCGTAACCTGCGAAGAAAATTTTAAAAACCAGTTTTTTGTGAAATATGTTTAATTATACCAAGTGTTAAATAAGTAAACTAGAAAGGGGCATAAATTCTGCACAAAGTTGTTCAAGTACTTTTTTTTTATTTTTTCAAATAAAGGGTGGGGGAGAGTGGGAAAGTATTTGTGGATAAATACCTATAACTTTGGTTTGGTCCAACCGATTTTAATGAAATTAGTGTCATTAGAAAGAGTGTGGATAAATTAATTCACATCTACTATAAAATACTTGCATTTAGTTTTCATAGTCGTAGGTAGAGGGGACTTTCAAATAAAAAAAATTAAAATTTGTTTTTCTTCAAAATTTTTAATGGAAACACCTATTTATTGTAAATTATAATGGAACTGGAATAACTTCGTAACAAAATGAAGCAAACCGCATTTTAATAGCTTTTGTTGAACTCGAGATGTGAATAAAAACTCATAAACATAAGTAAGTATAGTATTGACACACCCTGTATTATAAATTACATTAAAAAATAAGTCAGTAGGTATTTTTAAATTTTTTTATAGCAGAAGAATCTTAACGTTGATACCTATTTTGTAAAAAATAGTTTTTTCGAAACTAAGTAGGCTACGACAATGAATTTGACAGGGAGTTCATATTGTTTATTTATTGACAGCAGTCAAAACATTGTTAAGAAGTGCTATATTATAATTCGAATTAAAGATTGCACTTTTTTCAATAGATATTAATATTGGTAATATTAGTAATTAATTATCAGTACAAATAATTCGTGATGAGTATATCAAATTGTATGATATGATTGGAGTTTATTTCGAATGTCACCAAAATGCCGCTATTGCCTCACGTATATATTTTGTAAGATATCGTGACAGGAGACATTATGGCAAAGAAGTATTTGAAAGAAAGGCAAAAAGATTAAGAGAAACTGGTAGTTTTTCTCGTCCTTGTTTTAAACGACGTAGTAGAGTTATGACCGAAGATAATTCAATCAATATTCTTGCTTTAATTCAACAGAATCCACTGTTCAATCAGAATTCAACCGAAATCTCTACTTCTTTGCCACAATATCTCCTGCCAGGATATCTTACAGAATATATACGTGACGCAATAGCGCCATTTTGGTGATATTCGAAATAAACTCCAATCATATCATACAATTTGATATACTCATCACGAATTATTAGTACTGATAATTAAGTACTAATATTACCAATATTAATATCTATTGAAAAAAATGCAATTTTCGATTCGAATTATAATACATATAACACTTCTTAACAATATTTTGACTGCTGTCAATAAATAAACAATATGAACTCCTTATCAAATTCATTGTCGTAGCCTACTTAGTTACGAAAAAACAATTTTTAATCATATGAAATAACAATGATCAAAATAGGTATCAACATTAAGAGTTTTCTGTTATAAAAAAATTTGAAAGTACCTACTGATTTATTTTTTAATTTATTTTATAATACAGGGTGTGTCAATACTATATTTACTTATGTTTATGTGTTTTTATTCATATCTCGAGTTCGATAAAAGCTATTAACATGCGGTTTGCGCCATTTTGTTACGAATTTAATCCAGTTCCATTATAATTTACAATAAATAGGTGTTTTCATTAAAAATTTTGAAGAAAAACAAATTTTAATTTTTTCTATTCGAAAGTACCCTCTACCTACGACAATTAAAACTAAATGCAATTATTTTATAGTGGATGTAAATTAACTCATCTATACTCTTTCTAATGACACTAATTTTGTTAAAATCGGTTGATCCAAACCAAAGTTATAGGTATTTATCCACATACAATAAAATAAAATAAATTCTCCGCCGTATAAAATAAAAATAAACGAATTCTACGTCCCCGTCTGGATCCCGCGATGAAGGAATTCCCCGGCGAACGTCTATAAAAGAAAAAAAGTTATTGTTAATATCAACAAATAAAATATGTGAATTCGATCGTACGCAGACCTATACTCGCTCCCGCTTTAATACAGCGGAAGCTCCAATCACACTCGCAAACAAAAATATGCGGCTGTGCAGGCCCACGGCAATGTTCAGTACACAATGCCGATGAGTTCTGCTTAGTTAAGGACATAGTATGATCCTCAATGCGGATATCTCTCTGTCCCGGTTGTCTCGCAGGTTCAATACACTTGCAAGTCGGGGAGCCTAGAACGCTAGCTGCAAGACTCACTAATGCCGCTACTCACATGGTTCAAATTGTTAAACGATGAGAACATCGTTACAAGGTTCTCGAAGATATTTAAAATGGACGCCGCCTTGAAGAATCTTCTTTCTTATTGAAAGAAAAGGTTCTTCCTTCCTAAAAACACAAAAAAGGCTAGGAACTTTTTTAAAATAAATAAACAAAATGGTTTACGGAAAAAATTACACACTTATTGTTGTCTCACCACAAACAGTTATAGATAATAACAATAAAATACAAAATATCAAAAAGAGACTTACTATTGTCCTATCCCTTTACAAACTCTAGAAGTTGGAGATACTACAAAACTTACAATTGTTACTAGGCGATAATTTGTAGCAGAAATAAATTATTATAAATAAAAAACTATCTTTTTAAATGAAACTATGCATAGAGGTTAACCTTTAAAAAAAACAAAAACAAAATCTCAAATATGATTAGGTATCTACAATTTTAATTATTATAATTTCTTAAATTGTTATGAAAGCAATTATTAATTACTATTTAGATGAGAATAAACCACAATTAAAGGTTAAAGTACGTTTATTGACGTTTCAATTTCCACTTCGGAAATCGTTCTCAAAATACAAACATTAGTGATTATTATTATTATTAGAAAATGTTTATTTTTCCTTTA